TTATTTTTATTAGAAAAAGAGTTTGTGATAATTATTGTATATGTTAATGATTTAAAATTATTAGAACTCGTGAAGAGATTTTAAGTGTCATAAGTTATCTAAAAGAAGAATTTGATATGAAATACCTTGGAAAAACAAACTTTTATCTCGACCTACGAGTTTGAGCACTTAGAGAATGAGATTTTTATTCATCGCTTAATTTACATAGAAAAAGTTATACAATAATTTTATATAAACTCATCCATTGATTAGCCTATTAGTAGTTTGTTCACTTGATAACTATTTTTAACCTCGAGAAGATAACAAAGAACTACTTGGTCCTAAAGTATTATATCTTAGTGCCATTGGTGCATTAATATATCTTGCTAATAATACTATACTTGATATAGCATTTTTCTATAAATTTATTAGCAAAACATAGTTTTGCTCTAGTATGGAGACATTATGATGGAATTAAACATTTCTATGTTATCTCCGAGGAAAAATTGATATGACATTTATTTTACTTAAATAAATCAAAGTTGGGTTTAATTGGTTATGCGACTGCAAGTTATTTATCCGATTCATATAAAACTCAATCAAAAACGGATTATGTATTTACACATGGTGATATAACTATATCATGAAGTTCTATAAAGCAAACTATAGCTACTAGATATTCAAACCATACGAAATGTTAATTCATAAGAGAAGTTAAGAATGTGTCTAATTAAGATCAACGATCCATCATATCTACGAGGCATGTGGTTTATCTACTAGTAAAGAAGTTTCAACAATATTATATAAAGATAATCTTGCTTACATAATTCAATTAAAGGAAAAATACATCAAAGTGATAATCCGACGGACTTATTTGCTAAGACGTTACCTACCATAATTTTTGAAAAAATGCTTTATAAGACTAAGATGCATCGTCTTAAAGATCTTAAATGATGTTATCGATAAAAAGAGCCCAACATAGAGATTAACATGTATAAGTAATGTTGCACTTTTTTTCCTTTATTAGGATTTTTTCCCATTGAATTTTTTCTTGTAAGGTTTTAACAAAGCATATTTTTTTTACAATAAACATTCAAGGAAAAGTTATATAAACTAATAAATGTTCATATATTTTTCATATCCCTATCATTCATAATTCTTAATGTAATTCAATTCATCATTCAATATGATAAATTAAAATAATGATGCAATTGATTTAATAATTTATGTATTTTTAATTTTTTATAGTCTCTTTTAATTCTTATCCTCATTTTAAAACTTATAAATAGATTTAATTATTCATTAATTTATTTTATAAGAGAATGGTTTGGAATTTTTGTGATTTCTTTTTTATATATAGTCAAGCTATCGGTAATCACTCCTCGACATACTTAAAATTTCTGGTGTCACTGCTGACATTTGTATAGAGAAGCACCACTCTATTGCACTAAAAGCTGGTCTCTCCTTTGAGCAAAGTCGCTGATAAATCTCTTTAAACAATGAGGCAGACAATCAAACTCCAATCCTTATTTTCAAACTCCTCAGGCTACAAACTTTTTAATTCCCTGCTTTCCACATACCAAAGTTTGCACCTTTCCAGCCTCTCTAATTCGTCTAAACCCTCCCGTTCAAAGAAAACTCAAGAACCCCAGGTGAATGACCATGCAGAAACTAAAACCAATAATTCACTCTTTAAAGAGATAACTGAGATTTTGGGAGCTGATGTTGTTATCCCAGATAGAACCCCATATGGGTTTTCGATATCAAGAGCAACCCATGTGCGAGATCACGAGATAAGTGGAGAATTCAAGTATTGCGAACAAGGTATTTGTGGAAATGCGGAAATGAATAGTGGTTTGCAAAAGGAGGAGTCTATGTTAGCTTTCGGAGATACAAAAGTGGGAGTTTTGATCGACACTGACGTTAGTGCTGTAGTTCATGAGATTACTGGGATTGTTCGTGCAGAAAATTGCACAGCTTTAATGGAGGAGAGGCTAGATAATGCGGGGTTTCTGTTAGAACCAGAGGTTGTTGAGAAAGTATTGAAGAGGTGCTTTAAAGTGCCACATTTGGCGTATAGATTCTTCAATTGGGTGAAGACGAAAGATGGGTTTTGCCATACAACTGAGACTTATAATACCATGTTGTATATAGCCGGGGAAGCAAGAGAGTTCTCGGTGGTGGATGATTTGCTGGAGGAGATGGAGAAGTATTCTTGCCAGAAGGATATTAAGACTTGGACCATTCTTATTCAACAGTATGGGAAGGCAAAGATGATAGGCAAAGCCTTGTCGGTCCTTGAGAAGATAAGAAAATCTGGACGTGAACCAGATGCAGAAGTTTATAAAATGACGATACATTCACTTTGTAATGCTGGAAAAGGTGAAATCGCTTTGGAAATCTACAAGGAGATGGTACAAAGGGAAATGAAACTGAACTTAAGTTCGTATAAGATGTTATTGAATTGCTTGGCAAGGTCAGGAGATGTTACTGCCGTTGGATTGGTGGCTGAAGACATGATTAGGGTTTCTCAGATTCCAAAGCATGATGTTCATGTTAGTGTCCTGAAGAGCTATTGTTTGGCTGGGAGAATTAGAGAAGCGTTAGAATTGATTCGTGATCTCAAGAATAAAGATACACCACTTGATTATGAATTTTTTGAGACCTTGGTCAAAGGACTATGCAGGGCTAATAGGATTACAGATGCTTTAGAAATTGTTGAAATTATGAAGAGAGAAGATTTTGTTGATGGGAAGGTTTATGGGATCATCATTAATGGGTATTTGAGGAGAAAAGAACTTTCTAAGGCACTCGATCTGTTCCAGAGCATGAAAGAGTCTGGACATTTGCCTACCACTTCTACCTACACAGAGCTAATGCAACACCTCTTCAAATCGAATGAGTATCAGAAAGGCTGCGAGCTATATGATGAGATGCTGGAAAGAGGAATTGAGACAGACAGTGTGGCAGTTATGGCCATTGTTGCAGGTCATGCTCGCCAAGACCACATTTCTAAAGCATGGGAAGTGTTCGAGACTATGGAGGATAACGGAATCAAGCCGACTTGGAAATCTTATTCAATATTTATTAAGGAGCTTTGCAAAGTTTCGAGAACTGATGAAATTATCAAGGTTTTGGAGAAAATGCAGGCTTCGAAGATGTTCATTCATGATGAAATATTAGAGTGGGTTATATCTTGTATGGAGAGAAAGGGAGAGATGAACAAAGTTAAAAAAGTGAAGCAGATGCACAGAATCTGCAGATTTCATTCCCTAGATGATGAAGTATCTAGTAACAATTTATCCAGGGAAGAGGAGCTCCATGTTGACTCGAACTGTAATGAATCAGTGCAAGGAGGGATGGACTGGAACTCGGCGAAGCCACTTTCAAAGGCTTACAATGAGCAGGATTTGCAAGAAATTCTCAGGATAATATCATCCTCGGAGGATTGGTCCATCGTTCAAGAAGCCTTGGAGAAATGCACCATTCAGTTCACACCAGAACTTTTTGTCGAGATCTTACGCAATTGCGGTATGCATGGAAATGCTGCATTGCATTTCTTTGCATGGATTGGAAAGCAAAATGGTTATTTCCACACTACAGAAACATACAACATGGCAATGAAAGTTTCAGGTCGTGGGAAAGATTTCAAGCACATGAGAAGCCTCTTTTATGAAATGAGAAGAAAGGGCTTCTTAATACCACCAGATACATGGGCAATCATGATAATGCAATATGGTCGAACAGGTCTCACAGAGATTGCTCTAAAGATATTTGGTGAGATGAAAGCTAGAGGTTGCAATCCAACTGACAGCACCTACAAGTGCTTGATAATCTGTCTTTGTGGAAGGAAAGGAAGAAAGGTCGATAAAGCCATTAAAATATTCCAGGAGATGATTCGTGCAGGACATGTCCCTGACAAAGAATTGGTTGAAACGTACCTCTGTTGTTTATGTGAAGTTGGCAGATTGTTGGAAGCCAGACAATCCGTAGATACTCTTTGTAAAGTTGGTTTTACAGTTACTGCTAGTTACTCCTTGTACATTAGAGCTCTTTGTCGGGCAGGAAAGTTAGAAGAAGCTTTATCATTAGCAGATCAGGCTAGCACCGAGAAATCCACATTGGATCGGTATACTCATGCAAGCATTGTTCATGGCCTATTACGAATGGGACGTCTAGAAGAGGCTTTAGCTAAGGTGGACTCTATGAAGCAAGCAGGCATTAATCCAACCGTCCATGTTTACACATCCTTAGTAGTTCATTTCTTCAAGGAAAAGCAGGCATCAAAAGCTTTGGAAATTTTCGAAAGCATGAAACGGGAGGGCTATGAACCGACAATTGTTACGTATTCTGCATTGATTCGCGGTTACATGAACACGGAAAATGCCATTGAAGCTTGGAACGTCTACCATTCTCTGAAAACGAAAGGGCCTGCGCCTGATTTTAAGACTTACTCAATGTTCATTAGCTGCCTGTGTAGGACTGGAAAATCTGAAGATGCTCTACAGCTTCTATCAGATATGATGGATAATGGGATTGTGCCCAGTAATGTTAATTTTAGAACTGTTTTCTTTGGGCTGAACAGAGAAGGTAAGCAAAGTTTAGCTCAAACTGTATTGCAAAAGAAGTGGGCTTTATCTAGTAAACGCAAGTTTTAACATAAATTCTTTCCCTTTTCTAAATGTGATGTATCTTCTAATTCCAGATTTTACTATATTTTAATGATAAAAGGAAAAAGGACTCCTCAAGCCACTTTCAGGCTTTTAAACGACGTGTCCCTCGAGTATAATCGAAACCGACAGAGTGTGATACGTGTCAGCATTCAGCAAATGAATAATATAACAGGGACAGTGACAAAGCAGCAGCGTACTACTCAAGTAGGTCTAGAATCTCCTCGAAAAGCCGAAAACGAACACGAAGCGTAGCGCCCAAACTTAAAACGAACAGATTAATTAATATTAATCTTCTATTCAAATCTAGATTGCACCCGAAGAAGGCAAAGCACTAACAGGTGACAGAAAATGGGGTGGGTGTGGAAAGACGACGACAAGTCGAGCGATTACTTTCAAGAAAACCCTAACTATTCTTCTTCATCTTCTGGTGAGGTATGCTCCACTAGGACGGTGGTGAGGTCGCAGTGCAAGACGGAGGAGGTTGAGCCTGGAAAGTTCGTTAGGAAGTGCGAGAAGACCGAAGAGGTCCTTCGAGACTGCCTTGGAAAGTAAGTTATTTGAGATTGTTTATTTATTTTGTGGTTTCTGTTCGGTTCTTGAGAAAAAAAAAAGTGAAGGAAATTTGTGATGATCGATTAATTTTTATGATTGATAGTGAAGATGGAATAGCAATTTCGTCCTTTACGCTGTTATAATTGATGGAGAGGATTTAATTTTTTTTTCTCTCTTTTTAAAGAGTTATGATTTTATAATTTTCGGAAATTTACATCAATTGAAGAATTTTGATTGATTTGGCTCTTTTCAATTTGTACATTAATATGGTTTCTAAGTGTTTGTAAGCCGAGAATGAACAGGGAGGAATTAGTGTAGAAAATGGGAGGGTGCTGTTGAACTATGTTATTTGTTGTGCGGTTGTGCCAGGGTAGAAAATGTGTTTATTGACTATGTTATTTGAAAGTTAAGCATTTGATGGGGAGAGATTTGATGGGGAGAGCATTTGAACTTAGAGTTCAAAGAAACTCATAAGCTCCAAAGATGGATAAATTTGACCGGAAGTCAAAAATAGATATCCAAAGTCTTGGATGTTATTAGCTTTAAATAAATGGTTTTTTCAACCAATAGCTTCTTTTCTAGGAGAAGAAATGCTGGTGTTGCCTGAAGAATAAGCATCCGCGTGCATATGAAATACCGATGTCTCTTGACCCACATTCTGACTATATCAACTACTTGGAATTGCATAAGTTTTGGGAAATTGGTTGTGAAGACCCACAACTGTAGCTGGCAGAATTAGCTTAATGGTAAGGCATTAAATACCCAATTTTGGTTTTTCAAGGAGAGAAGGGCCTTGCCTTGAACTTATTTATGAGTGTATCTGAGCTACTCTTAAGACGTGTGAAAAAAGGGATTAGTTTTGTGTAGGGCAATAGAATAGTTCATATATTGCTATACAAGATTCGGGAAGCCATATAAATGATCGCATGGTCTATGCACGTGTGTATTTGTTAGTGCCCCAGTTTTTCTCGGATTAGAAAAAGATCAAAGAAACTGTTGGTGTGTCTATTATAAGACACCTGAATTATGTGAAATTCTCGTACATCTAAACAGCTATCCATCTAAGGATTCACCTTAAGGAGTGGCGTTAGGTTCTGGGATGCTTTATGGTATAGAACATGGGTGGTGAAGCATATGGGGCTGCAAGAATGTTGATAACTGATATACAAGAGCCACAAGGCAGAAGATAAATCTTGGAATAAATGCATTTGTGCAATTGTAGTGGTAGCTTTCAATGAAAATCTGTTTGGAAAAACCTAGATGTTGAAGGTAACATGCAGAAGAAACACAATGGGCTAGCTCCAGACAGAACATGTGATTTCCTAGTGATAGTTTGACAGAAACAAAAATGACGGGCTCTGATATTTGGTGGGTCGGTTGAATTGAATTGAATTGATGATTATTGGATCTGAAAATTTGGTGCAAGCTTAACTCTTGAAAACAAATTGGGTAACTGAACAAAAGACTCCTGATATTTCTTTTAACAAAACTTACAGTCTTTGTGAACAGAAAACGTTGTGGGTTAGGAATTAGGATTATTGCCCTTTTTTTCAATGACTGAGATCCAAGTTTGATTGAGATTTATAGTACTGTGACTGTATCTGCTTTATTATTATCATTATTATTATTATGGGTGCCTTTTCTCTTAATTTTCTGTTTATACTTTGCATTAACCTGGCAAGATGCAATTCTGAAAATTCTCTTGGTGATATTATAACCTCATTTGGTAAAGGTCACAGTACGTTGTTTAGATTTCTATCACTTAATTTCTCTTAAGAATGTTTGATAACCTTAGAATATGTACTATTTGAGTCATGGTCATATTTTCATTTTCTTCTGGCTATAATTGCAGATTGAGAGGTTTTGTAACATGTAATTATGTCTTAATTGGTTGTTCAATTTCTTTCTCTGTTTTTTGACCTGCCTAAGCATTTCAGTTCACCCAGGGTATCCAGTTTACTGGTTTGACTCTTTTTTGCACGTTTCAATTAGGCCTGTTGAAGTGCTGAAGTCTAACAAAGAGTATACTGAAGATGATGTTACAGAGCAAGTGGTTAGAGGGGCTCTCCGTCCAGGAAAGTTTGAGGATGGACCATTTGACTTCCCTGGGCTTAGAAGTGATATTCAAGACATAGAACGCCACTTCCTTGGTGGCATCAACCGCTTCTTTGAAGCAGCTGAAGAGATGAAGAACAACTTCTTCGATGTTTTTGGCGACTTCCATAATGGGACTTCGTCATCCTCTCCATCTATAAGGCGAGGGATACCCATTGAAGGCCATCCGCCAACAGAAGCCTCTCCTAAACCAAAGGTGCCTGACTCTGGAGATGTTGACCTTTCGGGTTTGGCAAGAGATGTATGAAGTGGAATGCTCAGAAACTGCCTTAACACATCTGTTCTAAATCTGATTTTTGTATGCATTTATAGTAGCCTAGTACCAATCAGTAATAAACTATGTATCACTATTGATAAACTGTTCACCCTCTCTATTTTAACTGTTCACTTTTTTCTTTTTTTTATTTTATTATTGTTTTTTTTTTTTTTTGCATACAAAAGCGGTTTTATTTTACTCTTAATTTATGTCATACCACTTAGTGGATTTGTGAAATTTTATATTTGTTCTCGACTAATTTATTTTTAATTTGCTTCTTTAGCTTTTTTTGGTCAAATCATTTGCTTTAAGCATAGCATTTAATGTTTATGTCATTCATTGTTTTTTCCTTTTTATTTTTCGTGAAGAATCAAAGTTCAAGAATAAATTGTAAATTAGTCCCTGTTGTTTCCACAAACAAATTAATTAGTTTCTATGATTTTAAAAATTGAATATTTGGTTTTATTTGCTATTTTTTAAATTAATTAATTAATTAATTTTTTTTAACATATAGAAAATGAATAAAAAATAAGTGAAAATATGAAAAGATTGATGAGAAAAAAAATTTATAATTAAGAAAAATTGTCATGGTAAACGCTAGTTAAAATAATTAAATAATTAGTTTTTAAAATTAAAAAAAAATTAATTAATTAATTTCTCAAAACAAGAGAGACTAATTTAGAGTATCTCTAATGTTGCTCTCTATTTTTAGCTAGCATTTTTAATATAAATAGAGAGCACCAATTAATTATATAAATTGAAGATTAATGTACTCTTCAATGCTATTCTCTATTTTAACTCTTTATTTTGATAAAATTTATAAAATATTTAATTCTGAAATTTTTTCTTCTTTTTTTCTCGTTAATCTCCTGTAAAAGCTGTTGGTGAAGAGGTCGGCGGCATAGGAAATAATAATTTTCATTAATGAAATATAAGATAAAGAGTCATTTGGACTTTTTAGTATTGGATAGTTAAAGACACTCTATATCTCACTTTTAAAGATAGAGATTGTGATAAAAAAAAAAGCATTGGAGATGGAATTTGGGTCAAATCTATGCATTATAAAGAAAAATCTTAATATAAAGAGAGCATTGGAGATGCTTTTGTAATCTACTTTGCAATTCAAGGAATTCTTTCATAATTGTTTTTAGCTAATTTCTTTCATATAAATACCATAACCTATGCAAAAAGAGTGCATTAAAAAGAAGCTGTATTAGGTATAAGAAATTAAATGATTTTATAAATATGATATAGTGATTTTATTTTTTTGCTGAAAGTTATAGTCTAGGGACACTTTTATGCTTTCTTTAAAAAAATTGCTTATTTTTTTAATTGCAAGTTGATTGTTCATATACACAAAAAAACACTTAATATTTCTCTTTTTAAAATGAATATTGAAATCAATTCCTCTCAAATAAATTTTAAAAAAATACTCGATGGTACCATAGTTTTTAAATAGAGTTTTTTATTCTAATATTATTTATTATTTTGAATATACATATAAATATGACATGGTGATTTTATTTTCGTGTCTAAAGTTGTAGTTTGGAGACACTTTTATGCTTCTTTAAAAAAAATACTTATTTTTCAAAATCTAATATACATACTTTTAAAAATTAATATTCTTATCAATATTATAAAATTTTATTTTAAATCTTAAAATTTTTATGCAATTTTTTTTAAAAATAATTGTTGCTTTATTTTCTCAATACAATATTATAAAATAAATAATTAAATTTATACATATATTTTTTAGAATTTTTGATAAATTGAAAATTACGTTTATGCTTTCGTTGAAAAAAAATTCTATTTGACGACTGGTTTTGTTTTTGAAGAATTTTTTTTTTCAACATTGAATAGCAACTCAAATCTATATGCATCTATATTGATTCTATGTTTTTTTTTTTTTTGTTATGTGCAATTCATTTGACCAAATGTTTGAGAAGTAAACATATAATAAAATTGCTATTATATTATTTATAATAAAAATAAATATTAAAATCAAATTTATAATTTTTTTTAGTTACAAATTGATTGTGCATATATACAAAAAAAATGCTTAATCTTTACTTTTTTTAAAATAAATATTTTGAAATCAATTATTCTCAAATAAAATAATAAAAAAATATATATTTTAAAAACAACACTCGATGGTATAATAATTTTTAAATAGATTTTTTTATGCAATTTTTTTAAATTAATAATTATTATTAATTTAAAAATATATGTATATAAACCTAATTTATATAATTTTAAAAATTCATCTTCTCATCAATTATTATTAAAGAATCCATGCATAACAAAAAAATAAATCATGTTTTTCATGAAGAAAATCTTTTAAAAAAAACACAAGAAATAATTAATTAAATACAAATTTTTGATTAAAAAAGTCATAAAATTATATGAATATATATTTTTTTTTTGCCTTAGATTTCAATAAATTTATTAGGTCTATAGTGTAGCAAAAACTATTAAATTATAATGATTTTATCTATTGTGTCCGATCCGCGGCATAATGTAGGCAACTATTTAGTAATACTTTAAAAGATATGGGGTTGTGACTATTCACAATCATGTTCATTTTTTTTGTTTTTTTCTCCAAGTTGTTGTGAGTACATGGTTTTTCTTTTTTCTTTTTTGCCTTTTTTTTTCATTTGTTAATTTTCATACAATTTTTTTATATCAATTGTTGTTTTATTTCTTTGATGCACTTTTTTTTTTTTTGTTCCAAGTTGTTGTGAATACCGAGCATTTTCTTTTTTATTTCCCTTTGTTTTTTCGTTTGTTAATTTTTATACAAGTTTTTATATTAATTGTTGTTTTATTCCTTTGATATAACGTTATAAAAAAATATATTAAGACTAATTTTTTAAATTTTAATACTCAAAAAGATGTGGGGTTGTGACTGTTCACAACCCCGTTCATCTTTTTTTTCATTCCGACACTTGTTCACTCTCCTTTTTTTCCTCCTTTTCCAAGTTGTTGTGAATATGCTTTTTTTCATTTGTTAATTTTCATACAAGTTTTTATATCAATTGTTGTTTATTTCTTCGAGGCACTCTTTTTTTTTTTCAAGTTGTTGTGAATACATGTTTTTTTTTTCCTTTGTTTTTCCATTTGTTAATTTTCATACAAGTTCTTATATTAAATGTTATTTTATTTCTTTGATGCAATGTTATGAACAAAATATTAAGATATTTTTTAAAAAATTTATATTAAAATTTGTTTATTATCGGTTTTTATTTTAGAACAAATGCATAAGAAAGAACAAATCATATTTTTTTGACCTTGAAATTTATTCAAAACATAATACACACACACACACACACACACACACACACACACACACACACACACAAAATTTTGATTAAAAATTATAAAATGAGATGAAATTTTATCTTTTATATTTAATTTAATATATTTTAATTAATCGATAACATAGTATATGTTATCAAACTAAAATATATACGTTTAATTCGATCCATAACGTACCATGAGAATTCAAACTGTTTATATACCTAAAATTTCTATTCACTTACTCTTCATACGCATAAAATTATTATTTACTTGATGGCAATTTAAGTGATTTTTTGTATTGTTTTTTGTGTGTTTTTGAGCATTAATATGCAAATTTAATACTTTTTTCTATTTTCGTCCCTCATGTTATAACATTTTTTTTCCAATTTCACGCAGCATGTGTGTGTGTGTGTGTGTGTGTGTGTGTATTAAATTAACATAAACTTCAGCTTATATTACTCTTATTATTTAAATTTCATTATTTGAATTTATTATTTTTTAATAAAAATTCTCATCCAATTAATATTTTTTATATAAAATTTTATTTACTAATAAATATAATTTTTTTTCTCTATGTTTGAATTTTAGAATATAATTTTAAAACATAATTTTTTTTTCTTTTTTAAAAAAATAAATTGGTATAATATATATCATGAATTCTTAGAATTATATATATATATATATATATATGTATGTATATATATATATATATATGTATGTATATATGTATGTATGTATGTATGTATATATGTATGTATGTATGTATGTATGTATGTATATATGTATGTATGTATGTATGTATGTATTATTTTAAGAGGTTAAAAATGTATTTCAAATACTTTATTTCGAGTTCACTAGATATGGTTAAGACGTGTAAAAAAAATATTGAATCATTTTTTTTTATGAAAACTACACATCGTCCTATATAATGCAAATTATATACTACGATTATTTTTTTAACATTACAGAACCAATTTATTTAAAATTAAATAATTAAAAAAAAATTAAAGAAAACAACTAATTATTCAAATATAATTTTTTATGCTAATTTTATTGATTATTTTGTTAATAAATATATAAAGATCAAATGCATATACTTTAAAAAAATTATCTTCTCACCAATATTAAATAAGAATAAAATTTTATTTTTTCATTAGTTAATTTTTATGCAAGTCTATATATTAATTTTAACTTTTTTTAGGATATATTTTTATAAATATATATATATTTAAAGTATTGTTTTAAGTTCTTAATTATATTTCAGTGTTTAAATTATTACAAGTTTCTATTTAAAACCTAAATAAAGAAAAATAAATCATTTTTTTAAGCAAAAATTTTCTGAAAAATTTTTAAAAAATATTAATAATTTAATAAAAAATGAAATAATTATAAAATTTTGAAATATTTTTTTATATCCGCCCATAGCTTTCCTAGATAATTTCAAAAATTAATTTTCTCATCATCATTAAATAATAATTTTTTTCACTTGTTATTTTTTTATAAAATTCTGACCATTAAGTATAAATTTATTTTTTGAAATATAATATTATGAAAAAAAAATTTAAAAATTTTTTTAATTCTTGATTAATATTTTAGTTAAAATTATTATAATTTTTATTTTAAAATCAATTCATAAAGAATAATGATTTATGTTTTTTAAGCGAGAAAATTTAAGAAAACATTAGAAAATATTA